TTCTTCCTCCAGTGTAACATCTATCCTGAAGTTAATGTTTATCATTCTCTGTGGGAAGGTTTTATTTTTTTTTAAGTTCTTATTTTAATTCCAATTAGTCAACATACAATGTTATGTTAGTTTCAGTTGTACAATATAATGATTCATCAGCTCCATACAACACGCAGTGCTCATTACAAGTGCACCCCTTAATCCCCATGACATTTGTCACCGGTCCCCTCCCCCCATAAACTTTAGTTTGTTCTCTAAAGTTAAGAGTGTGTTTCGTGGTGTGTTTCTCTTTTTCCCCTTTGCTCATTTGTTTCGTGTCAAATTCACATGAGTGAAATCATATGGTATTTGTCTTTCTTTGACTTATTTCGTTTAGCAGCATACCCTCTAGCTCCATTTGTGTTGTTGAAAATGGCAAGATTTAATTTTTTTGGCTGAGTAAAATGCCATTGTATATATAGACCACATCTTCTTTATCCATTCATCATTTGGTGGACAGGGCTGCTTCCATAGCTTGGCTATTGTAAATAACACTTCTGTAAGCATAGGGGCGCATGTATCTCTTTGAATTAGTGTTCTTGTATTCTTTGGGTAAATACCCAGTAGTGCAATTACTGGATCATAGGATAGTTCTATTTTTAACTCTTTTTTTTTCTTTTCTTTGCTTTCTTTTTTTTTTTTTTTTTGGTTTAATGTTTAGTTATTTTTGAGACAGAGCGAGACAGAGTGCGAACAGAGCAGGGGACAGAGAGAAAGGGAGACACAGAATGCGAAACAGGCTCCAGGCTCTGAGCTGTCAGCACAGAACCCAATGTGGGGCTCAAACCCATGAACCACCAGATCATGAACTGAGCCAAAGTTGGATGCTTAACCGACTGAGCCACCCAGGTGCCCCTATTTTTAACTTTTCGAGGAACCTTCACACTGTATTCCACAGTGGCTGCACCACTTTGCATTCCCATCAACAGTACATGAGCGTTCCTTTTTCTCTGCTTCCTTGCCAACACCTGTTGTTTCTTGTGTTGTTGATTTTAATCATTTTGACAGATGTGAGGTGATATGTCATTGTGGTTTTTTTTAAGTTTATTTATTTATTTATTTTGAGAAAGAGAGAGCATGTGGGAGGTGGGTTGAGTCAGAGAGAGAGAGAGAATCTGAAGCAGGCTCTACACCAGTAGCGTGGAGACTGATGTGGGGCTTGAACTCAGGAACAGCAAGATCATGACCTGAGCTGAAATCAACTGAGCTACTCAGGTGCCCCTCATTGTGGTTTTGATTTGCATTTCCCTGATGGTGAGGAATGATTGGACATATTTTTATGAGTTTGTTTGCCATCCCTGAAGGAAGGCTTTAAATAACATCCAATTCATTAAATATTTTGTGGCTATGTTGCTGAATACTTACAAATTTAGAATCATGATATCTTCTTCTGAAGTTATCATTTATGTGTATCATTACCAGCCATTCCTCTTTATCTGTAAAAATGCTTCCTTCATTTGTAAAAATGTCTACTTCATCTAATAATAATAAAACTGTATCACTCCTTTTTGATTAAGGTTGAATGGTGCATTTTTCCACCTTTTTTCTTTCAGCCTATGTTGTTTTTATATTGAATGTGTCTCTTTTAAGCAGTGTGGAGCTGGATTTAAATCTGATTTGCCTGTCTTATTTATTTAATTGGCCTACTTCATTTACTTTTAGTGAGATTACTGGTATTGTTGGGTTAATCTATCACTTAATACATTTTTTTTTCCTATTTAGCCAGACTGTTTCTCTTCCTCTCCTTTTCACCTTCTTTTGGATTAATCAACTTATTTTTATTCCATATTTTCTTTTATCGACTTGTTAGTTATCCTTTCTTTACTCTTTCTGAAATTTTAACCCACATCTTTTGTTTATCAGTCTTCTACAAATTTCTATTTGATACTTCCCAAGAATTCTAGGACCTTAAAATCACTATCATGTACATCTGAAATTAATAGGATCATGTATGTCCATTACATTTCAAGAAAAAAAAGAAAAAATTCTAGAAACTTAGGATATTTTAACTCCATTTAACCCCTTCTACATTTTCATTTTGATTCCATATAAATGTTTAACACCATCAGACCTTCCAATTATTGTTTGGCATAGTCAGTATTCACTTGCACTCACCCACATTGTTACTCTGTGAGCTCTTCATTTCTTCCTGTTTTCAGTGTGTTTCCATCTGGGATCATTTTCTTGCTGTTGGGTCAGCGCTCTTTAGTTTTTCTTTTAATACAGGTTTGCTGGCAAATAATTCTGTCAGCTTTTCTTTATAGGAAAATGTCTTTATTTTACTTTCATTATTGAAGAATATTTTCTCTGAGTATAGAATTCTGTGCTGGGAGTTATTTTTCTCAGTGTGTTAATGATGCCAATGCATCGAGTACTGACCTCCATTATAGATATTGAGACTTATCAACTATCAGCCTTTCCTTTTCTACAATTCTAATTATATGTGAGTTGTTCCTTTAGCTATGGCCTACGTCTTTCTTGGACTCTTCTCTGGTGTTTCCTATTTCTTTTTTCTCTCTGGGCTTCACTTTGAGTGTGTGTGTGTGTGTGTGTGTGTGTGTGTATGTATATACATATATATACATGTTGATCTTCTTTTGAGATTAACAATCCTATGTTCTGCTGTATCCATTCTACTATTCAACCCATCTGTTGAGCTCTTATTTTCATATATGATTGTTTCAGCTCTAAGATGACTACTCACTTTTTAAAAGCAGATTCCAGTTCTCTGCTGAAATTTGTCATTGTTTTTATCCATTTTACCAACCCTTTTCTTTATTTTCTTCAACATGGTGATATTTAAGTCATTATTGCCCTGCTTTTCTCTTCTTTTTTCAAAAGGTCCCAATTTTTTAGCATATAAAATAACTTATTGTACAACAACTTTGCTGACATATAGTTTACATACCATAACTCACCTTTAAAAAATGTTTATTTTTTTGAGAGAGAGTGAGAAAGCACACAAGTAGGGGAGGTACAGAGGGGCGGGCGGGGGGAGAGAATCCCAAGCAGGCTCTGCACTGTCAGCACAGAGCCTGACATGGGGCTCAATCTCACAAAGTGTAAGATCATGACCTGAGCTGAAGCCAAGAGTTGGATGCCACCTACTTACTCCCACAAAATCACCCTGTTTTAAAGGGTGGTTTATAGTGTATTCACAGAGTTGGACAGTAATTACTACTCTCTACATCAGAACATTTTCATCAACCCAAAAAGGAGCCCCATATCCATTAGCACTCACTCCCCATCGCCATCACTGTCAGCCACTGGCAAACACTGATCTACTTTCTGTCTCTTTGGATTTGCCCGTTCTGAACATTTCGTACATAAGGAATTATACAATATATGGCCTCTTGTGACTGGCTTCTTTCACTTAATGTTTTCAAGTTTATCTATGTTGTATAATATAGCAGTATTTCATTACTTTTGGTTGCCAAACAATATTCCATTGCATGGATATGCTACATTTTGTTCACCCATTCTTCAGTGGTTAGACATTTTAATGATTTCCACTTTTTGGCTACTGTATATAATGCTGCTATTAACAGGGACAAGTTTTGGTGTGAGCATATGTTTTAAGTTTTCTGGGGTATGTACCTAGGAAGAAATTGTTAGATCTTGTAATAATTCCATGTTTAACATTTTGAGAAACTTCCAAAATGTTTTCCAAAGTGGCTGCATCATTTTACAGTTACATGAGCAATGTATGAGGGTCCCCATTTCTCTATGTCCTATCCAACATTTGTTATTGTCTTTTAGTTCTTAGTCATCCTAGTATTTAGGCAGTGGTGTCTCATTGGGTTTTGACCCATGAGACACACCCAATTTCTTCTAAGATCCCTCCATGTGATTGAGTACTGTGACTTTTTAAAAATGTTTTTTTGAGTTTTATTTTGAGAGAGAGACAGAGAGTGATCAGGGGAGGGGCAGAGAGAGAGGGAGATACAGAATCTGAGGCAGGCTCCAGGCTCTGAGTTGTCAGCACAGAGCCCGACGCGGGGCTTGAACCTACAAAGCGTGAGATCATGACCTGAGCTGAAGTCAGACGCCTAACTGACTTGAGTCCCCCAGGTGACCCAATACTGTGACTGTTAGTGTTCCTTCCTAGTAGCTAGCCAAAGTTCCAGCATACTCTTTGTCTCCAGAACATGCTTTCCTGAGAGTGAATCTCCTACTTTTAGCATCATTTGCAATCTGGATAGGCTGAGAACTTCCAAATTTTTAAATATATTTGTTGTGTTTCAGTACATTATAATAATTATTTTTGATGCTTAATTTCTCCAATCTTAAGTCAATGGGAACCCTCTCAAGGTTGACTACTGTATTCTTTTGTCAGTGTCTTTGATGATTTCCTTAACAATAAAATGCCCCGGGTTCGACTTGGACATTTATTGCCTTAGGTCTAAAAACAGCCATTTCTGAAAGATAACCAGGTTCATTGTAGGGAGAAATGTTTTTAAAACTACAGTTTGGGCCCTAAGATGCTCATTGGTACTGTGTTGTCACTGCTTCTGTGCCTTTTCGGGACTGGGAATATGTAATTTTAAAAATGAAAAAAGTAGGGGCGCTTGGCTGGCTCAGTCAGTGGAACATGCAACTCTTGATCTCAAGGTTGTGAGTTCAAGCCCCACGTTGGGTGTGGAGATAACTTAAAAATAAAATCTTTTAAACTGAGGACTGATGGATGTTGGGGGGAGGAGGGAGATGGGCATGGAGGGGGGCACTTGTTGGGATGAGCACTGGGTGTTATATGGAAACCAATGTGACAATAAACTATTTGTAAAAAAATAAAATAAATAAAATCTTTTAAAAAATAAAGATAAACAAACATAAAACACTGGCATTTTACATATTTTACTTGTCTCTCTTTCACAATGAAAACTGTGCTTCCTAACCACACGAATATAATATTAATTTGCTTTATCCTATGATTTCTATCCATTTTAATTTTGCCGTTTCTCTTATTTTAGCCTTCATGCCCTTAAAGATGAGATGTTTACTAGGCACACATTGTTTCGTCAGTTTGCAGTACTTGCCGATTCATCCTTCAATTATATCGTGAGTACACGTGATGTTTAGATACTGCTTGTCTCTTTGGTGATATTTGTACATGTCTTTCTATTCTTATTTAACATTTATTGAACCCCTGTCCTTATAGATTCTGGAGATAGTACATGACGGTCACTTTGCTAGATACTAAGGACACAGGACAGAGGGTCTGGCCCCAAGGAGCTCAATCTGATGTGAGATATAGACGTGTGAACAAATTGTTTCAGCACAGCATAGTTGAGCTATAATAGAGGCAAGTGACACTGTCTGGGCAGGAGCTGTCAGTCTGACCATGTGGGCTTGCGTGGAATGTAAGGAATTCTCAAAGCTCCAGATCCAAGTATCCAGTCACTTCCAAAGGGCAAAGGGAGGTAAAAGAATCTTTTCCTAGTACCAAACCATTCATTTTCATACTAGACGTCACCTGGAGATAAAGCCCAATTTTAAAAGAGACTATTTTTTGACCTGTTTCCTTAATGTTTTATTTGGGAGCTTCATTCATAAAGGTAAGTGAAGTCCAGTATAGAAACATCCAGTACGTTTCAAATCCTGAGAAAAGTAGCGTGCTGTTAGTACTCTGGTGCACCCATCAGGATGCTAAGTGTCCTCGGACAAGTCAGGTTTGTGGGAAGGAGCCCAAGAAATACAACACATAGTCTCTTGCTTTAGGAGGCTTCCAATTTAAAATTACTCTTTACAAAATTTTTTTCAACAGTTTTTACTCTAAAACTATTTTCTAAATTTAAGTTGTTGCAAGGAGGTGAAAGAACTTAAGAATGCTGGCAAGGTAACATTAAATTGTTTCTGATTTTAACGAAATACACCTGGTAATCTGAGCCTTGCTGAGGTTTTAATAATTGACCCCCCTGAAATGTCCACAGAATGGCGTCCACAGATGAAACTACATAGTCTTTATTTTCCCCTTTTGGTTTTTCCTCTTCTCAACTGAAGGTTACAGTTTCTTTTTTTAAAAAATGTTTTTAAATGTTCATTTAGTTCTGAGAGAGAGAGAGAGAGAAAGTGTAAGTAGGGGAGGGGCAGAGAGAAAGGGAGACACAGAATCCGAGGCAGGCTCCAGGCTCCCAGCTGTCAGCACAGAGCCCGACATGGGGCTCGAACACACAAACAGCGAGATAATGACCTGAACCAAAGTCAGATGCTTACCCTACTGAGCCACCCAAGCACCCCTGAAGGTTATAGGTTCAGTTGGAGGAATCCTCATTTCAGACATTTAATCACCTAGACAAATAAAATACTGGAGGACCTGTGAGATCGGTGAGCTACTCAAAAATCAGGCTACTTTAGGATTACCTGGTAAAACCGTCTGGTCCAAATGTGAGTTGGCCAGCTCTTATGAAACAGAATTCTATAATCTCAGAATTACACTGGTCTAAGTATATTAATAGATCCAGTCTTTTTCTTGAGAAGAGTCTCTTCTCTGCCCCCAGATGATGGGAGATCTCTCTTCCTGTGGAGGAGGGCACCCCGTCTGGTGCCCTGTCGGGTCTAGAATACATCCATGTGCCATTACTTCTCCGGGATTCCAGGCTCATGATCCTTATCCATACATCCACACAGTATACAGGCCCTTGAGACACTGGTCAGAGTGGAGAGCAAATATTGAAATAAAACAGATGGGGGTGGAGAGGAAGAGAGGAGTGAGGAGTGAGTGAGTATTGGGTGACTAACATTTTTCCTTGGTTCCCTGCGCGGAAGCGCCCATCCACTCCACAAATATTTATTCAGTGTTAACATGTCCCAAGCACCATGTCCCAAGCACCATGCTCCGTGCTGGGAATGAGATCGTGCACGTGACAGAGAGGGCTCTTTTCTTTATAGACTATACATTTCCTGAGATCACAGACTGGTCTGTCACGCAAACTGTTTTGCTGGCAGAGATTAGGATAGTGCCTGACTTACAGAGTAGACAAGATAGACATGAATAAGGAAATAGCAGAAATAGAGAACATTTTTGTCCTCCCTGGAAGTTTCCTGTATCCCTTCCCAGACAATACTGTAGTCACATCCCCCATGCTGGACAGATATTGCTGCGATATCTATCGCTACAGGTTAGTTTTGCTCGCTCTTAAAATTTATGTAGGTGGAATCAGACAGTGTGTATTCACTCTGTCTGGCTCATTTTACTCCGCACGGTGCTCTAAATTCATCCGTGTGACTGTGTGCGTCTATAGCAATTGTTTCTTTGTATCGCTGAATAGCATCCTATTGTACGAAAAAAAATTTGCTTATTCGTTCTCCTCCTGATGCATACCTGGGCTGTTTCCAGTTAGGGGCTGTTTTGGGGGGAGATGGGGGAAGGTGCTACAAACGTTCTTGTACTAGTTATTTCTGGGAGTATGTTTTTGTAACCCTCAGGTAGGACTGGAATAGCTGGTGCATGGGAATATATATTTTTAACTTTATATTCCAGAGTAGCTGTTATCATGTAACCAAACCACCAGCAACATTTGAGAGTTCCTGTGCTCCATGTCTTCACCAATGTGATCTTGTTAGTTTGTAAAGTTAAGCCATCCTAAAATAATGTCTCACTGAAGTTTTTACTTGCATGCCCTAATAATTAATGATGCTAAGGGGCACCTGGGTGGCTCTATCAGTTAAGCATCTGACTTCGGCTCAGGTCATGATCTCACTGTTTGTGAATTTGAGCCCCGCATTGGGGTCTGTGCTGACAGCTCAGAGCCTGGAGCCAGCTTCAGTTTCTGTGTCTCCCTCTCTCTCTGACCCTCCCACACTCGTACTCTGTGTCTCTCTCTCTCTCTCTCAAAAATGAATATTTAAAAAGTGGTGTTCATGTATTTTGCTGTGCTTATGGATTAACTTTACATCTTCTTTTGTAAAAGGACTATTCGAGACTTTAAAAAAATTTTTTTTTTTACAAATAGTTTATTATCAAATTAGTTTCCACATAACACTCAGTGCTCATCCCCACAAGTGTCCTCCTCCATGCCCATCCCCCCCTCCCCCAGACTTTTAAAATTTTTGTGGCACAATACACATAACTTAAAATTCACCATCTTTACCATTTCTAAGTGTGCAGTTTAATAAAGTACATTCACATTGTTGTGAAACCAATCTCCAGAACCTATTTCATCTTACAAAAATGAAACTTTGTATTCATTAAATAATAATTTTTGTCTTTCTTAAATTATTATTGAGTTATAGTATTTTGTTATATATTCTGGATATATCTTTTGTCATACACACATTGCAAATATTTATTCCCATCTGCAGTTCCTCCTTCTGTTTTCAGAGCAGCATCTTTTGAAGGTCAGAAAATTGTAATTTTTTTTTAGAAATTTTTAATTTTAATGAAGATCAACTTAGCTCTTCTCTCTGTGGCTGTGTTTTCTGTGGCCGTGGCTGTATCCCACATTCTGCATATACTTATGATGGGATTTTGATCTTCCTTTCCCATTGAATTTTACTGGTTCCCGTGTTCTAATTCAATTGACAATGTTTCTGTGAATCTGTTTCTAAAATCTGTTTTGTTCCATTGGTCCATTTGTCATTTTGCCAATACTATATGTCCTTAACTAATAGAGCTTTGTAATAAGTTTTTAAACCAGGTAGTGCAAGTCCTTCCATTTTATCCTTTGTCTCCAAGATTGTCTTGGCAATTCTGTATCCCTAATTCCATATATGTTTTAGAATCAGCAAATCAATTCCTTTAAAAAACATATCCACTAGAAGTTTAATTGGGATTTTGTTAAATTATATTTTCTGAGTCTAAGAACTAGTGATTTATTTCAGAATCCAGAGACCCGAGTGGCTACCAGATATCTGGCCTAACTAAATATAAATGACAAAGATTTCTTTTTCAAGTTTTGAGGCTATTGCCCTACAGCAAGCTAACAGATACAGTTAGCAAGTAAAAGCTCACCACGATTGTCGCTTTTTCTTCACATTACATATCATGATGTTTTCTCAGTCAGCTCGGAAGACTCTTCACTGTCCTATCTTTGCTATGCATTATACTTTTCATTCGTGGCCAATGAGGTTCTTGCTAGCCTTGATGTCTAACTTGCCTGTTATTAATTTGGTTATCTGTATTATCTTCTTGTCTGTATTTTACTAGCTCTGCTCAATTTTTGTATTGCTGTATCATTTTCTTTTAGTTGTGAACTTTTTTAATTAAAAAAATTTTAGTGTGTATAAAATATTTTTTTAATGATTATTCATTTTTGAGAGCGAGCAAGAGAGAGTGGGGGAGGGGCAGAGAGAGAGGGAGACACAGAATCCGAAGCAGGCTGTAGGCTCTGAGCTGTCAGCACAGAGACCGATGTGGGGTTTGAACCCACAAATCGTGACATCATGACCTGACCAAAGTCAAATGCTCAACCGATTGAGCCACCCAGGCACCCCAGTTGCAAACTGGTAAGTAACAGCATGATTGGATTTTAGTCTTTCAAATCTAACCTGACACTCATTTACATTTAATATGCAAACTGAAAAACAAAGAATATGCAAACTGAAACTGTATGCACTTAGCAGCATAAATGATATATTTGGGGGGGTTTTGTCAACTTATTTTATGACTATTGGTTTTTCTCTTTGTTCTGGCTTTGTAATATGAACCACATTTTAGTTGCTTTTATTATGTGTATTGTAACAGTAAACTTTAATGTAAAATCAAATTACATTTCCACAGTTACAATAACAGTAACTAAACAAGTTCAAGTCTTAACCCAGAGTAAAACAAGGGGTTACACATGGTTTTGTTCCCCCCAAGTGTCATTTCAGCCTTTATTTCATCAGTATATCCCTCCCTTCCTTCCAATCTGTGTTAATTTTATTCTGTTTAGAGAACTACATTATTATTATGTGATTCATTTTATCACATAAAAGTATTTTTGATTAATTAGCTTTTCTTTTAATTTTGTAACCGTTTGAATAGCAATTACCTGTACCTACTTCTACATGGTTATCTTTAACCTCACAACCTTTTTAAATCGTGACTTCTGCATTCTTTAGTTCTTCATCTTGATTTA